CTCTGCTAAATGGTGCAAAGCAGCAGCAACACGTTGGTCAGTCTGTGCTATTCTTAAAAGTAAAACACTAAGAGTCACAGCCTGCTAACTAGAACTGCCCCTAATTTTGGAAGCGACTAGGGTCTAGCATTTAAAGCAGAATTGGTTGCTGTGGTGTTGTCCCTCCCCCACCGCAGCAGATTCTCTTTGGGTGGGAAGGCTCTGGCCAAGGCTGAAAGCATGCACTTCAAAGAAGCTGCTTTAACCTCTTAGAAGCGGGGCTGATCCACCTGTATGACTAAACCAGTGTAATTAAATGCCTTCATCCCCTGCAGTATACTAATCAAGCTAAAGATTAAAAAAAGCTGTTTTGTTGGGGTATTTTTGCAAGAGACTTTCAGCCTTTAAAATGGCATTTTTGAGACGATCCTCTGGGTTGTCAAAAACTGGGGGGTTTAAGTAGGATTTATACATTTCTATTAGTTTCCTTTGAACAAAATGACGTGCTAGCAACCGTAACTGAAACAAAAAGACAACAAACTATTGCTGTAATAAAAAAGGGACCAGCTAAGTACAACCTTCACACTTCTGAATAGGCACTTTGAATCTGGGCAAGTTTCCTGCTTCCATTAATTCCAACTGACACCACAAAAGCAAAAAGCAGACAGGGAAGGGGTGGGAGAACACCGAGGAGCGAGCAAACTGCGCAAGCGCTGCCCCGTGTTTGGGAGGAGGTGGGATGGAGGCAGAAGTTCAGCATCACCCCAGCGCCTGCGCGGCACCGTAAGGAGACTTTGTTTTCCCCAGGGAGGCGCCTTCTATTTCTTGGAGCACGTGGCTGCCGATCCTTCCAGCTGGAAGTATTTTTGGCAGCAGGTCTGCTACCCGACTTGGAAACTCCTCTTTGATGGATGCTGCCTAACGAGAGAGATATGGAAGAATCTCGAACAGGCCAACTTCTCGGAGCTGAACTTACAACACATAAGCATAGAGCTGCCCTGGACGCCCATCCGGCCTCACATCGTCGGCTACGCAGTGAAGTAACTCACGCCGCCCTGCCCCCCCCGAAACTCCTCCACATAATTAACACAAACCACGCGGCATAGGCTAATCCAGATGTCTGCATCTAGATAACATGGTGTGGAAAACATAGGCACGATTCGTGTCAAAATAGAATAAGGTGTGACAAATGTACTTGTTGTACCCTGTGTGAATCTGAAGTAATTTGTAATCACTATAACCTATATCATAATTGTGATGAATGTTTGAATCAAATTGAGAATTTGTAAGAGTAAAATATAGACAAGTGGGCTTCTTGCTCGGAACAACGTAACCGCTTCTTAAAAACCCCCGCTTAGAGCTGATGTCACCGCTGCTTAGATAAGCCCCCCGAAAGATGGGACCATGAGACTTTCAAAGGATCCAATAGGAGAAAAATGTGCCAAGAAACAAAGACCTCGAGACTTTCAAAAGACCCAACAGAAAAGGGGATTGGTCACGACGCTGGTCTAAGAATATAAAAGACGCTGCCTTTAGAACTCGGTGTGCGTCCTGGTAGAGCAGAGACTCCTGGCGCAGCGCTGTTTTCTTATGTCTATTCACTTAATAAATTGGAAACTTTGATTAAAAACCTGGTTTGGGACAAAATTATTTATCACACACGGTGAAGGGCTTTAATTAAGCTTCCGATTCAAGTGTCAGACGAGGGTCAGTTCCCAAAACACCCGCGAAGCCCCTGGGCTGCCGACCCCAGCGTGGCCCACGGCCGATCCCAGGAGGAAGCTGCAGGACGCACAACAGCCCAACGGGCAGAATAAAACCGCGTTAACTCCAGAGAACTTCTGGGTCTGGGAGAGGATTCCTTCAGGTGCTCCCCACGCCGGGAAGTGCCCGGGCTCGGCGAGCCGTGGTC